GGCCTGATTTGGCCCGCTGGCCTGGAGTTTGACACGTGATTTAAATATTTAAAATTACGTAATGTTTGTGAGAATAAAAACTAAAATTTTAAATTTTAACTTTAAGCTGCACACATTTTAAAAATCTGAAAATTCAGCACGTCACATAAAGTGCAAAAAAATGTAACCAATAAATAATCTATCATGTTTTTTTTTTTTTTACATTTATAGTGAGTTGTGCAGTTGAGTGTGTCTGACATTTAAAAACTGGTTTGTTCCTGTGTTGTGCCTGCTAGCTTACACAGCACATGGCACTTCTGGCTGCATGAAAAAAAATCTCCATCAAACAGAATCTCCACTAAAAACACGAAAAGCAGACCTGTGATGTGTGCCGATCCCAGATGTGAGCTGATTACTGGGAGACGAACAGACGCCTGCTTCCATGCRGAAAAGTAAAAGGACTCGTGAGCCAGCCTGAATGATTACGGTCTGATCCAGAGCATAAACAATAACTATAATTGATAAATGGCATTGTGATGGAGATGAAGAGCATTAATGATTCAGCAACTCCAGCTAAACAGGAAGCATCATAATGCAGCGACTGTCTTTGAAGAATATTGATTCAGCTGGATGACTTGGCAGGATTGCATACAGGGCTGGATGAGACAATAGAACGAGCAGCCACTGTTTGTCTTTTCTGTTGCTAATTCTGCACTGAACAAATCAGTTTGTAAACAGCTGAGACACAAACCTGCAGCAGCTTTTGCTTTTCTATCATAGGATGGAAAAAAACACGTCAGTATTCCAATCATAATAACTGTCAAAATGGGTTTGTATCATCCTCATAAATCAGCAGAATCATGTTTTGCTGCCAACATTTATAAGTCATTTGATCACATTCAAACTTGATGAGTACACATTGGACAGTCTTGGCACACAACGAATATCAACTCGGTAAAATAATTCCCAGATGTGAGCAAAGTCAGGAGATAGAACAATAGCATCAAAATTGAAGGAAAAACAAAAAAACAGTTTAATTTTTTCTTCTTTTGAAAAAGAAATGGCAACTAAGAGCTGAAAGGTTGAGTCAACAGAAGTAGAGTTATTTTTGGGGAGGAAATTGAACCGTGTAAGGTTTTAAAGCAAAACTCATGCAAATAAACTGTGACAAAATACTCCAAACTACCGATCGCTGGATTTAGTTKTATTTGCTGTTTTCTAACTCGGTTTAAAATCCCAGATGAGTTTGAAGTAAATACATTTCATTTTACTTGACTTAAAGGTACCTGGTGGTCGTAAAGTGAGTATTGTTTGTTTCCAATAAGTACATTTTTGTCTTTAAACAAGCAAAATACTGTATATCTTTGAAAGTACAGCAGGTGAAGTTAAAAAAAGTACCAGTATTTAGGCAAGAGTGCTTGCATTCTAATAAATATAAACTAAGTAACAAAGTTCCTTATGATGTAATCTGTTTTTAGTATATTTTGCATTAATAAAATTAGATGCATTTAATTATGAAATAAAGCGTCATTAAGCATGTTTGTTTCTACAGACATCTACCTAAAAGAAAAAAACTTTCCATTTATATTTCAAGAGTGTATTTGTCTTATAACCCTTCTTTTTGTGCCATTCCTGCTACATTTTTGTCCCTCAGTAATGACGCCCATGTTCAAAGGGAGAGCTGCAGTAGTGTTGGTTTAAAAACAAGGTTTGCTACAAAGCAGTACAATCTGTGACGTCATTACAGAGAATCTAACTACAACCAAAAATATTTCACAGTCATGCCTGTTGTTAAAACGGTGAGACTGATTGCAGCAGCATGTGATAAATGATCTGACTGTACCTGTTTGTCTAGAAACTCTCGGGCATCTTTCTCTATGTGTCCTTCGTACAGGTTGGTGGTGAGGCTCATCAGTCCCATCTTCGACAGACCAAAGTCCGTCAGCTTAATGTGTCCCATGGAGGTGATCAGGAGACTAAATGATGAGCACAAACACACATTAACCTTGTAGTAAATAGAAAAAAACAACATAAATCATGATGCTTTTAAAGCTACATCAATACCATATTTAATGTCACACTAAGAAGAAGCTTTTTGATAAACAAAATATAAAGTTGCAGAACCTGGAGAGGTTAAAAATGTTGCTAGTGCATACCAACATCTCTTTGAAATATATCTGGAGTAGTGCAGGCATTCCTTTGAACTACTAGAAATTATTTTTGAGTCGTGGTAATTTTTCCAGCTCTGAAGCAGCTCTTGCTTTGACCTCCCGCTGAGAACGTTTGAGTCTTCGAGTGGAGATATTTTATTGATGCTGTTTACTGGCTGGAGAATATGGCCTACTTCACGCTGCTGCAGTAAAAACAAACGTTCTTTTCCAGAGTAAAGAAAACGGTTATTATAGCATTTGTAACTTACTTGTCAGGTTTGAGGTCTCTGTGAACGATGCCGTAGTTGTGCAGGTACTCCAACGCCAAAACCGTTTCAGCGAAATACATCCTTGCCAGCTCCACAGGCAGAGCCCCGATATTCTTCAACAAGGTGGCACAGTCGCCCCCTGAAGAAAACAAGAACCTAAGTTCAGGTCAAATGAGACTTTGACATTCAGATCCTCTGTTTACGTAAAATAAAAATATCAGCCATAAAAAAACAGGCCTAAATGAGATTTTAAGCTCAGAGCATCTCAGCCATTAATCCTGCTTTGTAGTGCACTGCTCTAGACAAAGACAAATGAAGGGCAGACAAACCGTGAAAAAAAAAACCACACACACAAACTAACTAGACTCATAAATCTAAAGTGTGCTCTCATTTTCAGCCTGGTGTAAAACTAAACCAGACTTCCTGACCTTCCACGTATTCCATGACCATGCAGAGGTGTCGCCGCGTCTCGAAGGAACAGAACATGGACACCACGAAGGGATTCTCTGCGAAGGTGAGGATGTCCCGCTCCACAAAGGCCTGCTGGATCTGGTTCCTCAGTATCAGGTTCTGCTTGTTGATCTTCTTCATGGCGAAACGCTGACGYGTCTCTCTGTGCCGCACCAGATAGACGGCGCTGGAAAGAAGAGAGGAGATGAAAACACAGCAGGTGGTTAAAAGCCATGATAAATCATAGCTGTGTGGACTTGTCAGGAGGAGATGGAATTTTTAGGCTTTTGATGCTGAATTCCATCTTTTGAACTGATTGCATTAATTGTCTTTTTTATTTAACCTGAAGTGAAATTTAAAATATACCTCGTATATGTCCTTATAGTTTTGTAGGTGTTGATACGTTTACTGGGCTGCAGCTTTTACCATGCAGCAGCACGTGCTGTGGCCAAGATAAAGAGAAAACTATGTTATGTATGKTTTTAAATCCCTATTGTCAGATTCTTGCTAGTGGAGCCTGTTTAAAATGATTCGATTTTTCTTTCAAATCACTGAATAACTCAGTGGCTGAGCGGATGAGAGACATGCATTTTAAAACGTCTCCGAGCTTAATCCCACCGGYTCTCTGTTACTAAAGCTTTGAAGAGCTAGAGAAGTGCTTTTGTGTTTGTTCTCTGTCATACTGCTGCATGATTATCCCATAAAGTATTATATAGCTGTAAACTGAACAGTGCTTATAAATAAACACAACAAACTTTAACTGAACACAAATTTAATAGTATTATTTGACATTTAAAGAGCACACTACCTAACATCAGCTGATGTTTGTTTTAGTTATTTCCTGTCTGTTGACCAATAGGAGAGGAGCTGACCCAAGAGGAACCGCCCATCTTATTTGCATAATAAGGCAGAAATGCATGAGGAAATGTAAATACAGGAGACAGAGAAAATGTAAAAGCAACACATGGAGATTTAAAGTCTTGAGAGAAAAATTCTAACAAAATAATGAAATATAATCATCTAAGAGACACAAATTCATCTACAAGTAATAAAAAAATATACAGTATACAGTATACAGATCTTCTACAAGTCTGTTGTTGAGAGTGTCATCTCTTCTGCTGTCATCTGTTGGGGCAGCAGCATCAGAACCAGGGACCTAAAAAGGCTAAACCTGATAACGAAGGCTGGTTCTGTTCTGGGGACGACTGTGGAATCTCTGGAGATGATGGTGCAAAGAAGGATTTTACATAAAATCAAGCACATTGTGGACAACCCTGACCATCCTCTTCATCAGACAGTCATAGAAAGACAAAGTGTCTTCAGTCGGAGGCTTCTT